CTACGTTTTAACTTCATATTGTGTCTCCTTTCCTTTAACTATTAAAGTATTATATTATTCGCAACTTGCAATTTTTAGAGACCAGGCAAATTGAATGTCGCGTTTTGGCATTTTATATTTGGCTGCTGTTGAAATACCGGTAAGTACTCTAGAGCGTAACTATAAAATATTCATAAGTCAGCAATTCTTAGTGTGTGAACGTCGTGAAAACTTGGAGTCGACGTTTTGTCTTCTGATATGTTAGATCATTTTGCCGCACGTTTTACGGTTAATAAATACTCTCTCGCAAGTTAATGTAGGCCTATTTCAAACACACGAATAAATTAAATTGCGGTTCAGAACAATATACATTAATGTAATGTTCGTAAAGGCGTACGTGTAGGGGCACGAAAAGGCTTTTGTAGCATCGTAGTAGCTGTTCTACTGACAGCTTTAACTCAATGACTGAGAGGTGTGTTACAGCTCCAATAGATTTCGTTCTAATGCAGACAGGGTAAGAGCATGTGCCCGCCTTGTCATCTTCCCCCATTATGTTAACGGAAGCATTGGTGTCGTTCTTGGGACTTCGCAGTGCCATCGTATTCGTGTTCTTTGCGAGTCGCGTCACGTGAAGGCGCCTTAAGGAGAGATATGCCGACCATTCTGAAATGAGCAAAGCTCTCGGTATTGAGAATGCTGCTTTAGAACCACTTTAGCCATTCAGGGCTGTCATCGCTTGAGGGTACCAAAGCAGGTTGCTTGTCATAATTACGCATGTTTCGTTATATAGAGGCTGAAATTTGTTGATGATGCGGTAAACAGTTTGAGTGCCATTCTGCACAACAGACTGCGAACGTTGGACACAAATTACGACAAAACAACAGAAACAAATAGTCTTACATTCTGATTTTTTATCAGTATTGATTTTCTTTCCTTCTTTCTTAACATTTTATTTTGTTGTAAATGATTTCGTTATTTTCAAAGCATAGAGTTTGCATAACCTTTCAACTAAGATGATTTATTAGTTAGTCTCAGTTTGGATGTTATGCCGGAATTCTTTGCACAGCGAGTCTCATAAACTTGATTGAATGGAAGTTAGTGAATTAAGAAGTAGGCTAATTTTTAATTACGTCCTGTAATTTCAAGACGTATTATTGAGCTGTGCTAGAACGAATAATTTCATACTCTAAGGTTCATAGAATCGTCTTGTTATTGTCAGTTAGGCCTGTATTGAATTAAAAAGGACGCATTGGGGTAGCCTCGAATGGAATAGCGTTCATATCAAGTTTCATGACAGTCGTGCGCTGGTTCAGAATACGAAAAGAGGGCACGCGCCCACATAGCATGGTGGTCTCCTAATCCCGTTTTCTTCCTTTAAGGAAATAAAGTGGACTAAAACCTGCAGAAATGCGCAAACGTAAGATATATAAGTCTAGGTATGCGTGTACAAATTGTGCATATTTGAAGACAAACATTTTTTCGTGTAACAGACTTGTCAGGACCAGGCTGTTTTATCCAGCGATCGGAAAGATTCCATCGACCCTTCATGCCTTCAGAATGTCGACACACGACATAAAATGAACTAGGTTATCTCTTCTTGAAGAGATTGGAAAAGGGCCGAACTATTTTATGTTGACGGCCTCCGTCGAATTTGAATGTCAGGAATTGTCATTCGAACTTGAGAAAAGTCTAATGCTTTAGGCTGTCTCAACGGCTTGCGCGTTCAGTGTACGTGTTATAGGACCATGCGCATTATTTGAGCGATGGGAACTTGTAGGAACTTGTATTCAGGAAGTCCCTGGATGAAGGTTCGGTAAAGAAAACTGTGTTTGCCCAGCTTTTTTAAGTATCAGATAATGCCGTCAAACAGGCCACGACAGTTATCTTACACATCTCTCTTCATCATCATTATCATACAGTTTGTGGTATCAGGTTGTGATGGCGTGACATTGGCATGCGGTCATATGAAAAGTGGATCGCGAGTCAATTTTCATTGCTGCGCCGTTGGAGAAAAATATTTCGATTCGATGTTAAAAATGTTCCAATTCATTTGACGTAAAAACTTTGTTATAACCTAGGCACCGGTGTGTATTCTTCCTGTGTTGACCCGCGAACTGGTTAAGGTTTTGCCACCCCTTGTGTTGGACCTTGGACCAGCAAACACTGGGCGGATCGAAACGTTCGTTTTCACCAGTGACCATCTCCCGGGTACGCACCGAGACTTGGACGTATCGGCCCTGCGCAGGAGAAGAGCTTTCGCACACGATGGCGCTTATCGTCACAAAATAGCGTCCCTCTTTGCCACCGTGCATGCGCACGTCAGTAAGAAGAGAATAAGTACTTCGTCGCCATATTCCGCGACATTCCAACGCTGTCGCGTAATTTTGACAGTAATATATTTCTGTTGGGGTTTTGCTGTGGGATCACGTCGTAATTAGATTGTATTGTATTTCATACAGTACACTGTAAACGAAATTTGAAGTGCAACCACCACCGATTTTTATAAATAATAAGATATGTCAAAAGTAACTTGACAGACTGTTACTAAGCCCCTTTCCAGTCGTGGGATTTCTTTCGTGCGCGTGTTTGTTTGTACAAAAATTTAGCTGGAAAGCTTAAATTGAAGCGACTGCTCGTAGGACATAGGTGCAGACTGGATTAAAATGGACCTAAGGGAAATGGCGTTGGAGGATGTTTATTGAATTCATGTGGTCCAAGTTATGGATCGGTGGCGGGCTGTTGTAAACACGGTTATGAACCTTGGAATTTCTTAACTAGCTGAGCATACTTATCAGCTTTTCAAAGGCTGTGTTCCACGTGATTAGTTAACAGATTCAATGCCTGTATACAGGTCGCACGTTTTAGACGTCCAGTTGCTGACACTGCCTATATATTTCCTTACGCCTATATTATATGCTATTTGAATTACTGTTACACACTATGGTGCATTCCCGTAAACTTTAACGGGTCATACTACGCTAGTAACAATAACAGCAACAACAACAACAATAATAATAAAGCAAAATGTATTTCAGAAATAGTTGCTGCATTGTGTACCTCAGGAGCAAGGTTTGTCTCAGGTACATTAGAAGTAAACACCCTGTAAAACGGTAAATAGATGGAATAATAATAATGTAAGTACTGAATTACTGTAAAATGCAGTGTTTCATAAGCGAACACTACACACCCATGTCGCAACCTCTGATCTGTATATCAAATGAACAAAAGTGTTAGAAACCAGACGCCACTTAAGCGTTGCATGTACAAACGGGCTATGATATTACGAGAGTTGACGGTTTCAGTTAACAGCAAGTTTATATAATAAAAATACAATGAAGTCTCACAGCATTGGCAGTCGCTTGGCTGGATGTTTATTGCAATCGACAGATTTACGCAGTACGTTATGTTAGTAAACACATATGTTGTTCGTGAAGTTATGAGCTGTGCCGTACAGCCAGCCATTCATTGCAACGGACCGAGTGATGTTGCAGGCTTGTTCCACGTGTCTAATTCATATTAAAGAGTTCTCGTGGGATATCAATGTATGTTACTCGCTGTTATATTTTTTATTATTCTAGCTTCTGTGGCAGTGCTAATTGAAATTATTTGTGAAATACTACAGAGGTTTTGTAACTGTGTGCTTAATTCTGCCGTGGATTCATCCAGTTTAGTGCTGAATTGAGTTACTAGTAAATACTTGCGTCGGTGATAAGGAGTATCCCGTAATGGACCACGAACAGTATGATTTCTCGTTGCGTTTATTTAACATACATGAAGTATGGTAATGTCAGTACTCAAAACTACTTTACATTTTTTGTAAAACAATATTTTAAAGAAGTGCGAAAAATGTCTGCTAAGCGCAGCCTCAATTAGCGAGAATTAAAAAATTAAATTAAAATTAGTTGATATGTTAACTCATTGCTAAAACATAAATATCATAAATAAGAACACAAGCACTCACAGAAAATCGCTAGTTGAAACTGTTTTCAAATCCCTACTGTCACCAGGTGTGCAATGCATTTCACAGCAGGTACGTCGGCCTAAACGAAACATACATTTTTAATTCCACCCTAGGGATGCATTTGCTTTCCCCCCCCTCCCTTTTTTTTAATTTTGAAAGCATACGACCATCTGTTTGTCGGACGCCCCCTTTCTGATGAATATTATGAAAGCAAGAGCTTTCTTTACCCCCCCCCCCGTGTTGCCCAGCTGGTGTTGGTTCGCTTGCAAAGTTGATCTTAGCCTGATTACATGGCATCTGATCGCTGTGCTACTTGGTGCGAATAATCCCGCCCTTTCCAGTTCACGGACACTTCTTTTATCGCGTTATCTGTTAGCACATGACTTCTTGTAAACCTGGATTTATATTAATAGAACTATGTAGTGGACATGTTTTTTAAGGCTTTGAAATGCTCGACACGATACATTCAGGTCTTTGAAGTCATGCAGTGAAACGGATTTGCAAATTCTTTAGCGTGTTTTTGTGTTTAGAAAGGTCAAAACTGCAAACCTTTAAAAAAAGGTTCATCCTAGTGTCAGTATACAGAATGGAGAAAAGTCAGGGAACGCTGTAAAGAAAACTCGTATGAATTTTTCTCTCTCAATTTTGCATTTAATTTTACTATTTTTAATGCATGCGTTCATACGTTTACCTGTAATGTGATTTGTGTCAAATCATGTCGATTGGGCTATACATATTGGTGCAAAAGAAAGGCAACAGTGGCCATACCTCGAATATAATCTGTGTTCACGTATGTACACATTCGCGCGCATGCGTGCGTCCAAGAAACATGCTTTAGAAGCGTTTCTGTTTTGTAAAGTGCAGCAAATTACTTCACAAAGTATGATTTAGCATGTAAGCCCTTAAAATGGTTGTTTTGAAACCTGGAACTACGGTTCTCATTCGTCTTGGCATGGATTATAATGGGAATAGGGTGTGGTCAGGCCCTGTATGTTTTTTATTCTATTGGACTTTGTTTGTGTATATGTTTGTTTCGTGAACATATTTCTGACATTTTTAGAACCGAAGAAGGATAAGACTGAACAGGCAAATGGGTCCATATCACCAAGCAGTGATCCACCAGAGGGGCCAGCGTTATCGTCTCCTGGTGGTGATCCTAGTTCAGCAGCTGGAGTTGGAGTTAGTAAACCAGAAAGACCATCGTCTCTAGGCCCAGGAAAGTTGACCCGACGTCTACTGTGTTACCACAGTGAACACTGCATGTCACATAGCTCACCACCACGCCCCAACAGTTTGGCAGCAGCTGCCAGTGCCAGTGGTGAGTTTTATAACTACTGCTGCTTATTTTTGCCAGATTACACGCGCACTGTTATTTGCTGTGTGTAATTTTTTAGTCCTTACAGATTTCTTTAAGCTGGACTTAATTTGCCTTGGATTTCATAACAACCCAGAAGACAGAAATCTTCATACTCACCGCTGCGAAAACCTCAAATCTTACACAAAATGACATGTTAATGTTACAGCCCCCGATGACCACACAAGTGATGTGACTCCACCCCCTACAGAGCGCCACCCACATCACCATCAGCACTTGCATCCTAACACTTTGACACTTTCAGAACTACCTGAGCCTCCAATCCCCGTTTCAGAAATTGGACCCATTCCCCCACCTCCCATGTTCAGTTCCCCGAGCCCAACCATGCTCCTACGCCAGAAGAATCAGCTGGGGTTTGGAGTGGGCGTTGGCAGCGGAGTGCACAATGCTGTACCTCTTGACCTCTCGGACTTCCTCTATGAAGGTAATCAACAGGTTAATTTTACTTTAAATGTGAATGGAATCAGAGAATTGAGTTGTTACAGATATATTTTTGCAGATATTTGTACCTTTGAGGTAAATATCCATAACTCACGTTTTCAGCTGGAGATGTCATTTTTCCCGGTGATGTATACGTGGAAGAGAGAAAACCTGTTAATTTTGACGTACACTCCTGGATTATGTTTCTAATCTTATTGAGTTTGTGGCATAAGTATAAGATTATTTAATTTTAGTGCCCTTGTTTTTCTGCCTTACTTGTATTTGTTTTATTCTTTAAATACTCGTAATTTTTGTGGTATATTTATTATATAAAATATGTTGGAAATGTAGTAATTAAAATATACAATAGAATTGCATTTATTAATATTGTTGTTGCAGTTGTTTTCAAAAATTAAAATAAAACGTGTCTTATTTTATAGAAAGATCTGTAAGAAGAATTTTTAAAAAGTATATTTATGTCTTTATGAACAGATCACTAGGTCTGTATTTGTGAGGTACCTAGTTCTCATTTAGGCCCGTACTGGGGTTGTACCTTAAGAAGTAGGAGTGTGGGCCTACTGCCTTCACAACTTCGTAGAACTATCGAGCTTGACCGTCCTTTCCCTAGCTGCACCGGGGCTAAATACTCATCCAGATTTTCCACTTACAGATCAGATGTACTATTATGGCTAGAAACTTTAACATCTAACACTTTTTGCTAATAGGTTATTGTGACTGATAGAGGTCCCAATTAAGGAAGAATAAATGTATCTTTAATGTGGTAATGCATTTGACCACTTTTGGTAGTAATCAATATCCTTAAGCAACAGCAATGTTGTTTTACAGTGGACCCCTCTTAAGTTGTGGTTCTATCACGTGTTGTTGACACATAGTAACAATGTTTTTGGTATGCAATTAATAAGAAGCTTATAATTATAAATTTATACCAGTTGGTATGTTTTATTTGTATGAATTTAATTTTCATGACTGTGCATTTGCCTTTCAATGCCAAATGTACAGAAATGAAGAATTTATAATTTTTTACCTAAGAGATAATTCTCTCATAAGTGCGCACTCCTATTGGTTCACACGTCCTCACCTGATTCTGATGCCAGTCTCCACTGGTTAGGATTATGCTGTTCCTTAACTGTATGGTCCGTATAACTCTAGCGCTTTCCACTCGCGTGGCTTACTCATCAGCCTGATGATGGAGGCAGCAAGGACCTCTGAAACATCAGTAAACTTCTACCAGACTTCATGGCACAAGAACCCAGAAGACAGCCATCTTCAGAACCTTCTTTGTTAGAATTGTAAATATTCACCTGATGAAGAGTTTGCTGTTGTGCTTTCAGAATAGTCTTGACTATTGTAAAATCATTAGCAGATACTCGGAACATGCAATAGTCTGTTCCGCTGATGAAAATTTGATGAAAATTTAGCATTTGCCCTTATGGAAAGTGTTAGCTATCAAGAAATTTCCAGTCTGTGCTCCAAGGGTTAACTGTCTTAGTATCCTTATCATTTCTTATCTATTAGATCTTCATTTTACCAAGCACTCCTGCTTTATATTCAGGAAGTCCTGGTTTTAAATCTTGGCTGAGGGCTTTTTGTGATTTTCCTCGTTCCCTCTAGGCAGACGCCAGGATAGTACCTTAAACTAAGCCATGGACACTTCCTTCCATATCCTTTCCAATTCATTAATTTTTTGATGCTATATAGTCTGAGCTACTGGCAGTTTTGTTAAATAAACCACAAATAAATATATCTTTATGTGATTAAGAGCCAGGATAGCTCAGTCAGTATAGTGACTAGCTACAGGCTGGACGACCGGGGTTCGATCCCCAACGGAGGCAGAGGATTTTTCCTCTACCCCACCCAGCCTCCTGTACAATGGGTACCGGGGGTAAAGCCGGCCGGGGCGTGATGCTGACCACCCACCCCCATCTAGTGCCGAGGTCAAGAAAGAATAGGAGCTATACCTCCACTCACCCCAAGCGCCTGCATGGCACGTAGCGGGACAAACTTTACTTTATGTGATAAATACAGTAAGAAAATTGTTTCATTAAAAGATTGGATGCCATTGCTGTCTGTGTCTTATGATAAAGTTGTGGGAGTTGAATTGTGTACCATTTTCAGTAATGGAGTGCAGATGAGATGTGTACTAAAGTTGTGATTTGGCGTAACAGAACAGGAAGATGGGGGCGGTGACGATGAGGATGAAGAGGACGAAGACGGCGATGCACGATATATGTTCAGAGTGCCACAACCTGATCCAAGCATTGACACCTCACGTGTGGAAGAGATACCAGCCAAGGAGCCCAAGTTCCATGCTGTACCACTCAAGTCAGCCAAAAAAAAAGGGGGAGGAAGTGGACCTGGCACCCCTCAGAATACTCCCACACAGGAGAGCCGGCCTCTTGCCCTGCGGCAGGAACATCACGCCTCATTCAAGTGAGTTCAGATAAGGAGTAGAAAAAAAAGAATATATACAATTGTGACACTTTTTATTACACACAATTTCAATACTTAATAGTTGTTTTTATATTCTTATTCAGTATGATACGTAGCTTTATGATTAATGTTTTGTGTACATGTTTTATTTTATTTTATCAAGTAAATTACATCGTTATTTGTAATTATTCCCTAATTAGAGAGAAGACATTTTGATGTTTTAAGGCAGGGGTGGCCAACCCAAATGATCTTTCGGGCCACTTTGGAAATGCATCATAACTCCGCGGGCCACATATAAAATTATATATCCCCATATTAGATTTAGATACACTATAGACATTTTTTTGGAGTGAAAAATTGAAACATAATGAGTTATTATTATTGTGTTTACTATTATTCTTACATGTAAACATAGATAATATAATAATAATGATACTAAGCGTACATTTTGTAAAAGTGTGATGAATCTCGCGGGCCAGAAAAATGTTCAAGGCGGGCCACATGCGGGCCGCGGGTTGGCCACCCCTGTTTTAAGGCATATGCATCCTAACACATACTAAATGTAGAAGTGTTTAAGGATACACTATATGTTCCTTCAAATATGAAAATATATTTTTATAAGGTAATGTATATAGCGGGGTCTGTAGTGGCCGCGCTGTCTGAGGCGTGGGCCTTGTGCCGCTTGGTTGCTGGGACCGTGGGTTCGAATCCCACTCAAGCCATGGATGTTTGTCCACGTTTTTCTGTGTTGTGCTGTCCTGTGTAGGTAGAGGCCTTGCGACGGGCCGATCCCTCGTCCAAGGAGTCCTACCGAATGTCTGTAGATGAATCCAACTAAACGTTGTGGCCCGCAGTGCTCAGGCACTTGAAGAATGGGTCATTCCCAGTATTCAGTAATGTATATAGCATTCACCAGCTAATATCTGCCTGTGAAAGTGTTGACAGATGCCAACACCAGACTATTTCATTCAAACTGCAAATTTCCCTATGAAAAATTGATACACACTGATGTAAGTTTGGAGTAAAGCTTGTAACAAAATGAGATTCGAGGTTTAAATGTGATGTTGACTACTGCTTCAAAATGTTGATTAGGTTTAAATCCCCTGTTCCCACATGATGAAAGTAAAATGACGTCATTGAATGGTTAATTAAAGTATATTTACAAATTATTCTTGCTCATCAATTTGGATATGGATATTTGGTACATAAATACATTGTCCATAAAACTGAATGGTGTATAAATACTAGTATATATCATGAGGAAATTCAGGTATTTAGTTTTTACAGTGCAGTATAAAAAAAATTAATATGTTTAATTTTATGGACTCTGCTCTTTGTATAACCTGTGCAGTGAAACTAATATTAAATTATTGTTGCACATAGCATTCATTAGGAGTCTTTGAGTTAAGATGGAGTCAACTTTTTCTACACAGAATTATATCTTCTCTGACTAAAATTTCTTGCATTAGATTGATTTTTGCATTACTTTATTGTATTTAATTCTGTGCCATGATTTTCTCTTATGCTTGCTAGAAGGCCTTCTTCTATTCCAAGAGTAAGAATAAGGTACTTATTAAATAAAAATAGTTTTATTTGTTTGTTTTAATGTTTCTATAATTCATAATATAAATAATTTCACTGTTATAGGCTTGTAGTAATTTAATTATATCTGTGTATGCTTGATATTATTTAATTACTTCAAAGTACTTATATTATTCTAGGTTAATCATTATTTCCACATATTTTAGCAGCAATAATACAATGGGGATATTGAATTTTTTTTGTGTTTAATTTTCTCTTTACACTGTAGTGTTTTGATGAACCTGTGTCATTGTAGGTGTCCAGTTTATACTTTTAATCTGTTTAATGGTGTTCCTAATGGAAATTATGGTCTCAGGATGTATTACTGGCATTGTAAAAACAACTGTGCAATTTAACAGTCAGTCGTAATTACTGGGCACTCCTCTCTTTATTATCATCTTCAGCTTCCATAAAGGTGGGGAATTTTTTGTGAATGACCCTGCTTCTCAAGAAGGACTTCTCTTGATGTAGGTATTTATTTTGTTAGTTTCAGTGTCCTACTTTCTCTAAAAAAATTTCTTAAAACAAAGATCCTTTCTCATTTGTAACAGGGATTTGCCCTGTGAGATAAATTCCAGTAAGCACACTTCACAGCAGAATTATATGAACCAAAATGGAAAAAAAAAGCCATATACATTTTGTTAACATTTGCATCTTCCTCTCTTTTTCCATGTCACTCTCCATTTATGTAAAGTAACTTCACATTAGTTTTCAGGACTAGAAACATTGTCCAGTAAATACATGCTTCCATTTAATCCATAATCTGTTTTATATCTTGCTGTAATTTGAAATACTGATAATGTCTTTGTAAATATGTCAGATTTTCCATAATTGTAAAGAAATTCTTCAGGCATTTGCACAAGTTTTTAGTGATAATGTTCCATGAAATGAAGGAAAGTAAAATTGGTTAAACCTGTGTGTATGCACAAATGTTATGACATACATGTGTCAACTGTAGCCTTGCTGTTGGCAGTACACGTCCAGTGCGGTTTGGTATTTCATTGCCATGTGGTATGGAGAACAAGGAGAATGCCCGTCCAGCATACATCATCCGGGAAGACACAGACAGTGATTCGGGCGATGGCCCTGTTCTTTACAGAGATGACGATGACGAGGAAAGTACGTACGGTATGGGCAGCTGAATTACTAACTCCTTGTGTAGCTGAATGCATGAGACAGCAAGTGTCGCTTAGCATGATAAATGCATGGAATGGCATGATTTGTTATCAAAGTAACTCACAATGATAAAAATCCTATCATTTCAAAATATTCTGGTATCAGACTTCTGGAAAAGACAAAAACTCATAATTCAGAATCAACTTGCTTGTCATTCTCTTCCACTTTATTTAATTCTGTTGTCAGGTGATTATGTAGTTGTAGGATCAAGAACCTTTTTTTATTATTCCCCAATATAAGCATTTAATGGATGTCTTGTGTACTTTGAAAGACAAAGGTGATCCCTGCATAGAGCATATTTTGCTACATGAAGTTCAGAGATATCTCAACATCCATTTGTATTCTGTACTTGGTTTTAGTAGAACAATGAATTTTAAGTGATCTTACATGGCAGTTCTCCTCTTAAAGAATAACATGCTACATGTTTTGTCACATATGTTTAGTTTGTTGGTTAATGTGCCCATCACTTATCTCTTATCCGAGCATCACTTGAATAGGAAACATAAAAGAATGTCATTAAAATATTTTTGACTGTGGTATCACCTTTCTATTCCTCGATGAAACATAATATAACAGAATGGTGAAGCACATAGTACTAACTAACTAGATGGCTTACCGAACCCGAAGGTTCATCACCGAATTAACCAAAGCCCCCTGTCCTGGGCCAACAAAATCCAGTCTCCTTCAACTGCTATCTCCCATAGATTCCACTTGATATTGTCCTCCCATCTATGTCTAGGTCTCCCAGTGGTCTCCCCCCCTCCCCAGACTTCCTGATCAATACCTGGTGCACACGTCTTGTACCATCCATGCGTGCTACATGTCCAGCCCATCTCATTCTTCTCGACTTCATCACCCTAACAATTTTGGGGGAGGAGTACAGATTTTTAAGCTCATCATCATGCAGTTTTCTCCATCGTCTTTTCTCGTAGGCCCAGATATCCTCCTCAACACCTTTTTCTCAAACACCTGCAATCTATGTTCCTCCCTCAGAGTGACCAACCACCCATACTTAACAACAGGCAATATTATTGCTTTGTATATTTTAATCTTCAGGTTCTTAGAAATCAGATGGGAAGACATAATACAGATTTCAAATTTTATGATTTTGGATGAATTATCTTTGTATGACCATCATACAGTTTGAACTGAGCAAGCGCTGGCTGTCCAGAGCATGCAGACTATGAAACTCGGTGATAAAGTGGTAGAGAAAATAAGAAGGAAGGATGTGGCATATTCATGTTTGTTAGTTTTTGTTGGTTTTTCGTATTATAATCCAATATTGGGTGATTAAAGCTTTTACTTTCTTAATCCTCTCCATTGAATACGTATAGTAGGTTAGCAGTGAAAGTGCTGTGATATATTTTTATCAGTGTACGCAGGTTGTGGATTAAAACATAGTCTTTAATTGTTACTGGTAGTTGCTTTCACTTAATGGTCAAATGGGTTCCACTTCATTTTAATGCACAAATATAGAAAAGGAAATTAAAACATACATAACTACTCCTTTACTTAATCAAAATGGCTGCCTTGCACGAAGAAAGGCCAGGGATGGCCAATATGTCCTGACTTGTGCGTGATTCTGTATATGATGCTTATATTAATCGCACTACTTAGTACAGGTCTAGGAATGTCTTCGTTGTTCATTTTAACATGACAATCCTGCTTTTCATCCCTACAGATCTTGAGATTCCCAGTTCTTTTTACCATTGAAACCATGCTAGACAAATTTTGTTACCCACACTCTCATACATATTTAATTTAGGCAAATGATCTGTACTGTTCCAGAACCGAATAAATAGCTTTTCGGCTTAAGGGCCGAAGTTACATGGCAGGATCCCTGCTGCCTACTCTTTATAGTTTATGTTTAAATTAAGTTTATCATTCATAACTGGTTCCTACTTAATAGCATTGCCTCCATGCCAGATATGTTTATACCATCAGAACAAACATAAAGAGAAAATAGTTTTAGACTTTCATAAAAATAGGCTTTTGGGTTTAAAATGAAGATCATGAGACGATGGTTTTAGAGTGACACATGTACAGTTAGAAAATGAACAGATCTGTTCTGCCATCTATTAGTCTTACGATAATTTATTTATCCTACTTGATTAGATTCCATGATTTTTCAGTAACCAATGAAATTTTCATATTTAGAAAGATAAAACTGATGATTTTATATACATAAATAATGTAATTCTGGATCTTGCTGTAAGATTCATTTGTGGCAGTCAGTTGCTATTAGGATGCAGTTGCCTCTGAAATTGTTCACGTATTTTACAGGCCGTTTGGCAGCAAAGATAGCGAGGAAGGACAGTCTGGCTCTGAAACTGGCATTACGCCCCAATCGCCAAGAGCTCATAGCACGCAACATCATCCACGAGGAGAGTGAAAATGAGAGAATGGAGACCAAAGAGGCCATAGGAGCCAGGCTTATCAGGTACAGGGCACTTGACCTAATATGAAGTCCTCTTTCTTACATACTTATGTGCACAATATTATAAATACAATTACTCCGTGATTTATGCAACAATTGAGTTCCAACAGAGGAATTACTGAAGGTGAAGTTGCATGAATTCAACATAATATTCCCAGGATGCTGCTTAACTTTCCCACTTATTATTATGGAATTATTTTAAGGACTAATATTAAAGTAAAACAAAAAATTCCACAAGAGTGTTAGTGAGCGAAGACAAAGGCGTTATTTGTCTCATGGTGTCCTTAGCCCTTGAAGGACTGCCAGTAATGGGTGTTCAGAAGTTGGAGAGGCATGTAATAAAAAATAATGCACGTGTCTGACAAAAGAGCCGAGGTGTGTGTCGTCACTGTTGGCGAAGAGTAAAGAGGTTGATTTGTTGTTTTATACCTGGGAAAAATATAAATTCTACAGCAAGTGATGATTTCTTGATGAAATAAAAATTGACACGTATAATTTTAACTTACAGGCGTTTGAGCATGCGGCCTACCCAGGAAGAACTAGAAGAAAGGAACATTCTTAAAAGTATGTAATTCTTGAAATGTTGTGCACATGAATTTAATTTAATATTGGTTGCAACTTAGTTTAAATAAGGCACAATTTAACTCTGACTTGTTTCTGGCAGAACAAAGTGCTGCTGAGGAAAAGAAAATGAAGGAAGAGAAAAAGCGAATGTTATTGAGGAAGCTAAGCTTCAGGCCAACAGTGGAAGAGTTGAAGGAAAAGAAGGTATGTATAGTACTGAAACATATGGCGGTCCCTCGGTTTACAGTGCCATCGATTAACAGTATTTCAATTAATGATCTGCCTCACATATGGTCCCGTAAAGTTCTGATTAATGACATGTTGGTATCACATGGAACCAATTATTGTTAACCATAAGACCACTGTATGTACATAAATAAATTGTACGTGGTCGTGAGGAACTCTGTGATTTATTCAGGGCAATAATACAGAAGGTTACAGTAGGCTGGGCATATCAAGGGTGGTAAAGAACTGCCTATAGTACATGAATTTTGGGGAGGAGTATTTTTGAAAGTGGTCACTTGGAAGATGCAGAAGTAAATAATATTGTATCAGCTGTATCTTACAAAAATGAGTTTCAAGGATGGGAAGTGGGTGTGACTTGTTCAGGATTGTGTACTATGATGGGGTTTGAATAGGAAGATTTTACTGTAAGAGATTATTCGATTATTCGTCCTTTTTGTGTGTGTGTGTCTACCTGTGCTATGAATGTATATGGAGCAGTATTAGAATGAATGTGACAGGAGAAAACTGAAGTACTTGGAGAAAAATTTCTCCCAATGCCACTTTGTCCACCACAAATCTGACCTGGACTACCTTGGATGTGAACCCAGGCCTTATGACTATAAGACATTAATTAGTTTATTTCTATGTTACATTATATAGGTTAATAATTATTTTTTGTTGGATTTCAGATAATCCGATTTAATGATTATATTGAGGTAACTCAAGCTCACGAGTATGATCGTCGTGCTGATAAACCCTGGACAAGACTTACACCCAAGGACAAAGCAGCTATTCGTAAAGAGCTGAATGAGTTCAAAAGTTCAGAGATGGAGGTGCATGAAGATAGTCGACACCTCACCAGGTCAGAAATGTTTGCTTCATTGACGATTATAAGGACTATTAAAACTTATGTATAGGTCAAAGAACCCACTAAAAGTTAACCATATTCAAGTCTCAGATTTTGAAAATATGATGTGAGAGAAAAATTCTTTGACTTCTCTTTGTATCTTTGATTCTGAACTCATTTTGCTTATATCTTATTTTACAGCCTCATTGCAATAAAGCATTTGTATCTGAAAGCACCTTTGCTTTTAGAAGTTCATCAGATAATCTCATAAGTTTGTAGTCACATTACTCTGCTTTTTAAAAACTTTTATAATGAAACAATGGTATGAAACAAATATAGCGTTTTTAGGGATTTTACTAACGAATTAGATGGCTTAGAGAACCGGAAGATTCATCACCAAATTAACCAAAGTCCTCCACCTGTCCCTGCAAAGGGCCAGCAAAATCCAGTCTCCTTCAACTTCTATCTTCCATAGATCACGCCTGAGATTATCCTCCCATCCATGTCTAGGTATCCCCAGCAATTCTTCACCTCCGGCTTTCCGACCAATACCCGGTGTACACATCTCGCCCCATCCATGCATTCCACATTCCCCGCCCATCACATTCTTCTTGACTTAATCACCCTGACAATTTTGGGGAAGGAGTATAAATTTTTAAGCTCATTATGCAGTTTTCTCCATGCCCCATCCTCTTCTCTCTTAGGCCAAAATATCCTCCTCAACACTCTATCTCAAACACCTGCAATCTATGTTCCTCCCTCAGAGTGAGAGACCATGTTTCACACCCATATAAAACAACAGGAAAAATTGTTGTCTTTCATATTTTAAGCTTTAGGTTCTTAGAAATCAGACAGGAAGACAAAATATTTTGATATGAGAAATAGCTAGCATTTCTGGAATTTGAACTACTCCTAACTTCCTTGTGAATATCATTTTAATTTGTTATTGTTGTTTCCAAATATCTGAACTTTGTCACACTTTCAAAGGATTTATTAGCCACCCTAATAAGATTTTGCCTGCCTGTCTGCTGACGGGATACTAACATGTACTTAGTTCTTTTCTGAATTTATTACATTATTTTGCTACTGTATTTTGGTTTAGGTTTTGGGCATAAGAAACCACTGAAACCCACAGCGACTTAAATAGGTTGTCACCCCAGCAGTGACAAAAGTCACATAGCCACACAAACCTTCAGTGTTCCTTAAATATTATGTACTTGTGTAAGTTCAGAAGTAACTTCAGTTTGCAACTCAGGATGCAGATGATAGTGAACAGTATCAGAAAGTTAGATCCTTGCCAATTATTCTTGAAGAACAAAAACTGAAGTGTGAAATAAAATAGTTTTTACTAGCTTTTTATTTGTATAGTATGAGTTTTGTGGACTTGTGTGGCTTTTTCATATGACCATTCCAGTGTCTGATTCTTATACTAAATCATAATTGTTACATCGCTGATTTTGAATAAAAATTATAAATACAGTCACCTCTGCACTCACAGCTAAGTAGTTGCGAGATAATCTCCTAAAGATCCGCCAACATTGCACGACAGTCACGTGAGCATTGGTCACTCTTCACGGTGAGTCATTTGTGTTCAGCCTGATAAGGGAGTAAAGAAAAATGTGCTCAGTTCACTTCTTGTTGACACATTGAATGTGCTGAAAACTGTGTGCTAAACGTGTTTGTGTTGTTCGACCACTATTCTGCAGTAGTGACTGTTTTATGTTTATAAATTGTAGAAGAGCCACCATGTCTGGTAAGAGAAGTGAATATGTTGCTAAAAAGCTGCGTAGGTCTATTGCGTTAGAAGATAAGATGGACGTAATTCGTAGAATAGAAGGTGGTGATACCCGTCGTAATGTGTGCAGAAGTATGAAGTTGCCTCCTTCCACTGTGACTTCCATAATGAAAAATTCAAATAAAATAAAACGGTCAATGGAACAGGCTACGAGAGTAAGTGCAACGCAAGTGAGTTATAGCAGAAGTAAACTTTTAGAAAGAATGGAGAAATTACTGTTGCTATAGTTGGAAGACATGAATCGAAAAAACATTCCGTTGACTGAAATTGCTATCACGGATAAGGCAAAGTCAATTTTTGAGGAATTTAAGTCGTCAATGTTTGGGTGCCGGGAACGCATGTCATTGACTTCCCATTGATTTACATTATAAAAAGAGTTTCAATTTACGCCGTTTCCATTTATGCCGGTTCGTCCAGGAACGCATCCCCGGCGTAAATCGAGGTTTACCTGTAGTTCACTATGTACCATAAATCACATTTGGTATACTAATATATTGTTTACAGATTCCATAGGCCATGACAATTGCAAAGCCTAGGCCAAGAGAAGCATTGGACCATGGCGGAGTTGAGGCTGAATGTGTGTGAGACAGTGACAGGTGGGAGTGTTGCACTTCTGATTGTAGCAGCGGCTCAGGAGTATGTGAGCCAGCTGGGAATCGAAGGATGCGGGTAGTGGTACAGTGGGCTGAGTTCATGCTGCCAATGGTACACCTTCAAGTGTCTCAAGAAACTCATCACAATCATGCATACTCAACTTTGCCGCAGTTATGTACAGAAGTGTTTTTTTATTAAATCGAATCACCTCTGTTGAATATTGATAATTTCATATAAATAGTGCAGATTTTTGTGTGTAAAAAGCGATGCAATTTTCTGTGTACATAAAGCTGTTATGTTGAGTCACTGCAACCATTTTTGAAAAGATGGTTGTAAACAAAGTAGTGCTTTTTTTGGCACACCTAGGACAGATTTTCTGTTCATTACTTGATCAGACATTTACTTCTTTAAGTCTTTTTCTACAACAGAATAAGAATTGTTGATGAAATGAAGGCATATTATGGACAGGACAAATTAAGGATAATACTATCCAAATTGATTTGCCATTCAAGGTGGGAAAGCCGTGGATGAACTACGGCTGTGCTGTTTCATCACACAGCAGTTGGGATCCTACTGGCAGCCCTCACGATAGGAAGCCATTCTTATAACTTTTTAAGTGATACAGGAATTATATTTTGTCATGTAAATAACTATTCATCTACTCTACAGTTATGCAACTGTTGATAAAATGCTAGGTACAATAGAATTTACAACACATTTGGATACAACAGATATAACTGTTCCAATTTCAAAATGTATAGATATGTACTAAAGATCTCCCAAATTCCAGAAGTTTGTATATAGTTAATCGAATATATCGTCATCAGTTAGTCGCATCTCCCCCTCAGTGAAACTTTTTATATAAAATAAATCTATGTTGCCAAAACAGATATTGTGTATTTTATGGGCAGTAACATTTTTGTGAGTAATTTTTAGGTCAGTTGAACAATACATACATAAATAAACTGTTCCATTATTAATGCTATTGGTAATGACACTGTTATTACTATTAACTTCGCAATACAGTATTTGATTTTCAAACAATATGTGTAATTATTTGGTACACCAGAAGAAGTCATTTTGAGTGGAATTTTTGGCATAAAGTGAAAATCAGTTTTCCTTGTTAACTGACTCAACTTTTTGTCATCAGTTACATTTATAAAAAAAAATAATGTTTGTGTGAAAGATCAGTTGATACCAAGCACTGTCCTATTATCCTACTTCTTAAAAATTTACGTCTGTATATATATTTCATGCTGTTCTGAACACGACAGAAAGAGTATATGACAGCATATAATGTTGCCTCTGCCCAGGTTAGGCCCGTCAATGTATCATGGAAAAACACTATAGACTTCAAAAATAATATTTTCATGGAGGATCAGCTTTATGTGACACTGCTATTTCTTTCATTACTCCTTCATCCTCAATTGAATTCCATATGTTAAGCTATTGCAGAAATTGTTTTTAGACAATTCTGAAAAAATTGCTCGTTTTCTTTGATTTCCCATCGGTGAGCACGAAATCAGATTAAGATTTTATGCAGTGATATAACTGGGAGGAGGGGGGCAGAGGCTGAGGTGTTTGGGCTCCTCACCCCTTTAATTGAGAAACATTTTGTTGGTTCATAGTAGGAGTTGGCATCCCTTGCATTACTGCAGGATGAACTGGCTCGTCATGTCCTTGTCAAGGGCCACAAAAAAGAATAATTTCTTTAACTTAAAACTATTGTAGCTGGTATTCACTTGAAAGCAGTTAATAGCTGTATTTCTCCATACAACTGAGTTAAGCCTCTGGAGTTCTAATTTCTAGAAAAATAAAGAACATACTTCATGAAAGTAAATTTTTACAATTACAAATATTTTCCTTATTTTTATTGTTATTTTAAAAAATAAATTGCAGTAGTACTATTTCAAAAAGTACAGCAATGTCATTAAATTGCATAAAGTAAGGAACCCTCCAAAAAATGAAGGCATTTGTTATTTAACCTTATTTTCAGAACATATGTTTCAAACAGAGCACATTTTCCAATATTTACATGTCCAACTTTCAAAACTAAGAAGGAACACAAGTTTAATGTGATTTTTGCAGAATTATGTCTTGAAAGTTTGACTGTATAGTTTTTGGCTTTAAGTTCATTATGCCAATCATTAATTACTGGTGCAGACTTTAATTTTGCTTAAAATTTTAAAAATATAATGTTTGTTTGCAAATACTCTTATAGTACCTGATACAAATGTCCTCATCTTTGGGAAGGCTTCAGGCAGGACACCTGAAGAAAATGTCATCAGGTGCAATGGTTTGAAGGCATTTTTCGATGAGTCATTAGTCTAGTTCAGTTACTTCAGTTTGAAGTTAAACAACATCATTGATATCTACTTTCAAAGGATTTTGAAAAAAGAATAATTTCACTGGAATGTGGATTGAAATCATTAAATCTAGATGAGAATTTGCTTTGAAGCAGCAGGATAATTTCTGAAAACTTTTGTCTTTCTTCCACAAGTTTTTAAAATGATTTCAAAGCATACTTATTAATCAATTTAGATTTATTTTGATATCAGAAAATGCTTCAGGGGTAAGTTTTCCTTTTCTTCGAAGTTTTGTGTTCAGCTCATTCGAAAGGAGTGTTATATCTACCAAAAATGCCAGATCAAGAATCCATTCTGTATCTTTTAATTTGCTTGTTGGTTTACTCTTTTCATGCATGTGTCTCTCTCAAGTTCTACTCTGAAAGTAAAGAACCCCCTTGCCACGTTGCCTCTGCTAAGCTACGTCACTTCATTATAATAAAGCACGTCCCAAAATTCAACCTCATTTTCCTCTGAAAAGTGTTTGGACTGGCAATGATTTAAATCAGTGGTATTCAACCCTTTTTGTTCACATACCCCCAGATATAATTTCTCTTAAATTTTGTACCCCGAAAGTTGTTGGTGTATAATCTACATCTAAAATAAATTAAATAAATTACATTACTGATTATTCAGTGTTTATCATGAAATAATATTTTTTTTTAAATATCATGTACCCCTTAAGATGTCTTCGCGTACTCCAAGTTGAATACCACTGATTTAAACCATACTTTCTTATGAACTTGACAGTATAAATTATGAATGATGTAATGGAATGTTATTGAAAGTACAAAGTTTTTTTGCATCACTTCTCTGACAATGCAAATAACAGTTTTACCACCACCAAAGTTCTTTCCACTGTCCATCATTGAACTTTTCAAGGCTTTTCACCTGCAAACTTGAAATGGATGTGAGTTCTACATAAAGAGAAAATTTGTCATCTATGCAAAAGTTGAATATCAGTTGTTGAGAAGTTTCATTACATTCAACCAAACTACTTTTTTGTTACAGTGACAGGTGGATATCCTCTCAGGACAGAGTTCCTCAGCAGTTGCTAAGATGCATTCAGCGTCTATGAAAGGTTTTATTTTCTTAGCTAACCATTCAATAATGCAGACCCCCACCTTTGGTTTCACTTCAGTGTCTTTGATATATATGATTTATATGAGTTGATTTAGCTCGGGGGTCGTCAACCTGGTCCCTACCGCCCACTAGTGGGCGATTCAAGCTTTCATGATGGGTGGTGGGGGTTTTTGTCCGTGGGGCTAGAAGTAAATTCAGAAAAAACTAAGTACATGTTAGTATCTCGTCATCAGAAGACAGGTGGGCAAAATTATCTTAGGGTAGCTAATAAGTCCTTTGAAAGGGTTACAAAGTTCAAATATCTGGGAACAACAATAACAAATGAAAATGACACTCATGAGGAAGTTAGGAGGAGATTAAATTCTGGAAATGCTTGCTACTTCTCAGTTCAAAATATTTTGTCTTCCTGTCTGATTTCTAAGAACCTGAAAATTAAAGTATACAAAACAATAATCTTGCCTGTTTTTTTGTATGGGTGCGAAACATGGTCTCTCACTCAGAGGGAGGAACACAGATTGCAGGTGTTTGAGAACAGGGTGTTGAGGAGGATATTTGGGCCTAAGAGGGAAGACGATGGGGCGTGGAGAAAACTGCATAATGATGAGCTTAAAAATCTGTGCTGCTCCCCCAGTATTGTAAGGGTGATTAAGTCGAGAAGAATGAGATGGGCTGGGCATGTAGCACGCATGGATGGGACAAGAGGTGTGCACCAGGTACTGGTTGGGAAACCTGAAGGGAAGAGACCGCTGGGGAGACCTTGATGTAGATGGGAGGATAATCTCAGGCGGGATTTATGGGAGATAGGAGTTGAAGGAAACTGGATTTTGTTGGCCCGGGACGGTCCGGTGGAGGGCTTTGGTTAATTCGGTGATGAACCTTCGGGTTCGGTAGGCCATCTAATTAGTTAGTTTATGCAAAATTTAAATCTGATTGCAAAAGCAAGCAATTCTGTCAAAAATTATATCAGAACCATACATTTCGCTCTTCCAGACAGCTTTTGATCTGTGAAACTTCAGTAAAAATTGTTACCCATTTGTTGAGAAATCATGCTGTGGCTACTAGTGATGCCAGTACTGTGCTTATATGACTGCAATTTTGAGATTTAGGAAATTCAAGTAGTTTCCATCAAGACCTTAGGAGATGACAATGGAAAAAATTGTGAATCACAGCCCAGGATGATAAACTAGGAGACTGGGAAGATGGAAAAGATCAAATATAAAAATCATGAAATATGAGAAATACATTTTTAAATACTTGTGAATTAAAACAGTGGCAATATAAAAATTGAAGTACAGAAAATAAAAGAATCCAGAAATTTCTACCAGTCACTCTGGAAATGTGAAATGCCTAAGAAGGGGAAAATATGCCTGTTTAAAAAGTTACTACATACCAATATTAGTAGATTAACAGCTGCAAAGATGAGATTTTAAAAAAGTAGAAATAAAACAAACAAATATGATAGAATGATAAATTAAAGAATTACAGAGAATATAAAATGAAACAACTTTAAATACAAACTAACAAATAACAATGAGATTCCGTCTTTGAAAGAGGAAATCTGTGGTATGTAACTCCTTGGTTATCTGTGACAACAAAAAACAATTCCTAACAGAATTAACCCTTGGTGTTTCTCTCTGCAAGTTTATGCATATATTTGTGTTGAATATTGTGCATTATGTTACCAACGTGTCTAGTACTGTAAGCTCTGGTCTCAAATAATATGTAACTTAGCATTGAAGACAGCTAACTAACTCTACCCAGCTTCCGTAGTAGAATATTGTAAAACATTACAGCTCTATACGTCATTTCTATCCCTGTGTTTGACAGCTTTTTGTTTACTTTTTTATTTGCGGTTTATTTCTCGAAAATTCCCATTCGTACCAAGATATTTCCCTATCTCTGAAAACTATATTGTTTTATGTTAGCTTACTATGTGAGTTGGTACAAAGATCTCTGGGTGCCAATGTCAGTCGTTCTAAATTTATTTTATTATAAATATCGTTATACTTTTCGGAAATAATACTATATTGATATTAATGTGTTAATTTGATTATAATGCATCAGATTTAATTCAGAGAATTGAGTGCATTACTCCATAAAAAGTGTATGAAGTGCCGATAATGGAGCTGTCAGTAGCAGTTACCACTGTGCAATATACTTGACTGGGACAGAAGATCCGACTTCGTTATAGCAGATTAATTTTATTACGAATTCAGCAAAGGTAAGACTCGACCATTTGAAATATAAAAGTGGATAGATCTTTTGGCGTCGTTAAATAAACGCAAATAGGAAGCTCTCAGAACACGTGGGTAAAAGTGACTTATAGACATACCTTTTTTAGAATATCGTGTGTTGGTACAGTTAGTTACTTCTGTTACCGTTTATTAAACCAAACATTAATGATAGACAAGCTGATAACGTAATCCGTACTAATAACGAAATCCCAGACACATTATACTGAGTGGATAATCGTGGCACTTAAAATGGTAGATCATTCATTAGACAGAATTAAAATTGAGGGAGACACAGGTTATGAATGGTATTAGCCTGTTGTATAAGCTACCGACGCCGGAAAGTCGTCTAATACGACGTGAGGTGTCTTGGTAATCCGTGGTGTGGAGCGTAACACATACTCACGTGCATGCATTCGATGGATCCAAAAGTTGAACCTATTACGGGAAGTGGAATAAGCTATTAGGTACAAGATGCGTACAATTCAGAATATCAGTTTTCACGAATGATAAAGGTTTAACATATAAATATTACACAAAATATATTGCTATACAGCAGACTGTATAAATGCAATAACCTAATAAATCCTCTTTAACTAATCTGACTTGTTAAAATACAGGCTAGCATCACTTGAGATTCTGTTGGTTTCTTTCATTCTTTCAAACAAATGAGATGATACCTTGCAAGAAATATCAACTGCTATGTCCCACATTCCACCATTTCTCCTTTGACGCTGCATATTTTTTAATAGTTGACAGACTGTTATGTTATGCATATGTTGCCAGCACCACATTTACAAGCTGTAACTCAAAATATAATAAATTATTCTTGGTCTAGCATCATTTCCATTTTAAATATGTCAGTGGAGAATTCAGGTAGGTGGTAGTAGCCCAGAAATCCATTTGTATAAATGTATTTGAGAACTGTATAATTGACAAGGATGATAATGTTGTCACAAATGGTGAGGTACAGAATACAAGTTTCAGAATATAGCCTACCATGGTAAAGTCATTGGAATCTTTGTTTTAGGAAAAAGAATGTATCCTCCTTTTTTTGTGAACTTTATACAAACATGTGATACCTTGAGGCAACTAATGATACAGTGTCATCAAAATCCATCCTGACACAAGAAGTACACAGGTAACAGGATGAAGGAGGAAATGCTTATAATCTATAAGTACTGAAGAAAGTAATGAAAGTTAAGTCAGATACCTTGTTCCAGCTGATATATTTTGAATATGAAGCAAGTGTGATTACTTGTGATTTAAGATATTTGACCATTCCTTTACACTAGAATGAAGGAATGGATGTTCATCTCAAAATTAAATTTTATTTACATTTATAGAATTCATTAGGGGTCCGCAGTGGCCGTGCGGTCTGAGGCGTGGGTCTTGTGCCGCTTGATCGCAGGGGCCATGGGTTCGAATCCCACTCAAGCCATGGATGTTTTTCTGTGTTGTGCTGTCCTGTGTACAGGTAGAGGCCTTGCGACGGGCTGATCCCTCGTCCAAGGAGTCCTACCGAATGTCCATCGATCAAGCCAACTGAAAAGTTGGGGACGCGTAAAGGGTACCGGAAAATGTACAAACATTGTTAAACTGGAAAAAGAAGAATTCTTTATCGTCTCATCATACCAAGCAGCTTGATCAGCTGTAATGATTTAGACTTACATTTGGGAGGTAGCTGATATCAATTTCATCTAATTTGTCAATTCCAATGACTGGCTTTTCACGGTCTTTCTTAATTCCTCCAGTGAATGCCTGAATAGTACCTTCATAACATATACTTCAGTAACAATAGTCTTATAGTAATGATGTTAAGAATTTAATTAATATTGAACATAATATGTCAATTGTTTCTCTGGAGTGTGTGTAGGTTAGGGAAAGGGAAGACAGTTATTGGACACCACTCTGAATCCTAGCATTTCTCATTTAATACAATAAACCTTTGCAGTTGGCACAGTATAGTTACAGAAACTAAACAGGCATAATTGCACTAAGCGTTGTTAAGCTGTTTTGCAAAAAACACATTCAAGTCTTCAGAATTTTTGTATTTAAAACCATTTTCACAGTACAGCATATGTAAAGCACACTATACTGGATAATAATATATACATAACATACTGTAAATATGATACAGGAAGAGAAGACATAGTTGTGTGTAGAAACTCGTTTCCAGCTGTGAAATAAAATATGGATGGACTGAAATGACTCAAGGAATGGGAAAGATGATTATAGAATGAACTGCCATTGTACACAATTAGGGCTTCTTTCTTCTCAACTTCGTCTAATCCGCTGTCGAAGGAGCACTATGCTATTATATAATTTTATTGCAGGTCCAAGTTTCATTTCCATATGCTGAACAAGGTCATTCTGTGCCATCATTAGCAACGCTTCTCCATCAATTTGCTGTAACATAAATATATTTAAGGAGTAACACTTGTAAAATACCTGCTTACAGAATTTCCATAGTATTATGGAAAGATGAAATTACTTTAGTACATTTTTAAAACCCTCATGCAGCTGATCAATTTAGACAACATGGTATACAAAATGCTAAAAAAATTAGTTTCCAAATAAAGTCTTAATGATGCCACCGAAAAACTGAGAAGTAGTAAGGATGGGATGTGGATGAACAAAATTTAGGAATGTATCCATTGACAGGTTTTGGTACTGGCATTGTGATATTTTTGGGTTCTGCTACCTGAATATTATTTAGATAGTTAAAATCCTCGAGACAAAATCCAAAAGTTTGCGTCCTCTGAATTTCACAATACTCAGACTTGACTGTTGTACATAAACAGCCGAGGCTCAGAACAAACACACTTACCTGTTCCTTGAAATTATGGGCCACATGACAACAGTCTGGAATAGACCAAACAAACTGAGCCACTTGGTCTACGGACCACATGCTTGGATTGCCACTCTTCACTGCTTGAACATACTGGTTTAGGTAGCGTGAATGCTTGGCCCATACATGTGGGCTGAGGTGATCAGGTTTTACCTCATACCCTGGATTCATCACTGACTGTCGCATCTCTTGATGCAGGGGATTCATGTCTACGCTGGAAAGTATGGGAGTAGCAGTTGTTGTTATTGTTGTAGTAGCAGCAGTAGTAGTGATAGTAGTAGTGGCAGTTGTAGTAGTAGTAATAGGGGGCTTAGCTATAGCTGTAACCACATTCTCCTCTTGAGAAAGATGTCTTCTGTAACAACAATTTGGTTGTAATTTTTCTTGCCATATTATGTTCAGTTATCCTTTATGAAGTGGCATGTTTAATCGATTGGTTCATTGGTTACTTAATAACGATGTATCAAGTGCTGAATGAAATTATCAAGATAATTAAGTACAGTGAAAGAAGCAGTAATAACCAATTTCAGTATATGCTGTTTACCTGGAACTAAGGAAGACGGTACATTCAGTGTTATGGCAAAGTTTTTAACCGAGTACCTGCCAAACTCAAGTTTATATTACTGCTGTGCCAACATACTCAGTATGGTGCGCTGTGAAAGAATGCTTCATCTAAAGAGAATGTTCACTTATTTTTACCACTACACATAATGCATCCAAATCCAAAATAATATTTTAAGAAATACCATTACAGTGATATCTGGCAGACAGAAAATGTTTTACTGACTGTTGCAAATTTTGTGAAAATCAGTCACTTATTTCAAAAGTCAAAAGTAGGCACACAGGAAAGGTATCACTTCTTTCTTCCTTAATGAAGAAATGTATGCTAAAGACTTCCAAATAACTGCGATCAATGGTTACTAAAGCAAATGCATATTATCTGTGTGAAGTCTAAAGCCCAATTGGTTTTGTAAATGTTACCCGCATTATTGTCATTAAATATGCATCCTTCACGTGGTTTTTCTCAGTACACATAGGTCCTGAATGACAGAGACAGAGGTCTCTGAAATTTCTGCTTCAAATTGATGCAGGTAATCACCAAGGAGGATTTTATCACTATTAGTTGCCATGAAAGCTTCAAGTGGTTCCTAAGCCTATGTCTAATTGGAAACAGCATAGTTTTTCATTTCTTCAAGATCGCTAAGTGCCAAAGTATGAGCATTTAACACTGCTGGTGTTTCTCCGTCTTGCTGACACTATTAGAGTTCTTTCGTGTTGTAATAAGTAATGTTTAATTGCTTGCTGGGTATATGAATTTAAGACTTTTCTGTGGTTAATACCTACTAAACACCATCTAAGGGTATAATTGCCACATTTATATTGAATGTCTAAATTTAATAATGCCATATTTCATCAGCATTACACACATGATTCTATTTCATGGTACAAAAGTTGGATGTACCACACTTATCAGACTCACTGTAAACTTTTAAGTTGATCACAAATCAGCACCAACAGGATTCCAGTTAAATTTGTTGAAATGAAATTTATCGTAATTTTAATTCTTCATTAAAAAAATTAATTTCTATATGTATATATGGT